CAAGTCTGATTATTGTTATTCCTTAGCGAAAAGCCTTCATTTGATCTAAAATGCTACAAACATATCATCTGCTCTTTGTTTACTCCCGGCTACATCCAGAATTGAGATTAAAATCCCAGTTTTTTCATACAATCATACACAAAGCTCCGAATAACCAGGCCCAGACATTTCAAACACATCATATCATCAAAACCACCCAGCCGAACACATTTCTCACAGACTGCAGGCTAGCTTGTGCTTCATAGAGTGTCTAAAAGTAGAAAGGGAGGCAGAGTCTGCAGCTACCACCCCGCTCCTGATCACGTCCCCCTGTGTTTTTAGACCCCATGCATTTAACTTTGGTCTTCTCTCTCCCATAGACTATGTTTTGTCCTGTTTGTTGCTTCTGGTCTTTCCACACTTCTCTTTTCTGTCATCATCAAACCAGTTAAAATTGATAGCTGCCCATCCCTGAGCATGGTGCTACCACAGGCTGTAAAACGAGAGTTCTTCCTCCCTACCTTTGCCAGGGTCAGGTTGGTCACAGGAGATCATCTGATCTGGAAACTGAACTGGAAACTCTTTATTTTACATTATAAAAAGCCTTGAGATGATGAAATAAAAAATTGAAACTGCACACTCAGCTAAAATATAATATAATATAATATAATATAATATAATATAATATAATATAATATAATATAATATAATATAAATCTTTGTTTTTGTTAATGATGGTCTATTATCTTGTGTTACAAGTTCTTGGGTGTGTAGAAGTGGGAGAGAGACAGAGAGAGAGCGAGAGAGACAGAGAGAGAGAGAGAGAGAGAGAGAGCCTGTCACTGGCCGGTGCAGTGCTTGCAGCAGTAGCTTGGCTCAGTCAGCAGACGGCGGCCAATCTACCGATTTCCTCCTCTCGTTTCTATTCTCCCCCTCTTCCCCTTTATTGCACATCTTTTATTTTCTGTAGCAGGCTCGCAGACATGTCCGCCAGACCGGGATTTTACCGGCAGGAGCTGAACAAGACTGTGTGGGAGGTTCCAGAGCGCTATCAGAACCTGACGCCGGTGGGCTCCGGAGCTTACGGCTCGGTGTGGTGAGTGTGTGCGTGTGTGTGTGTGCTGTGAGAGTGGAGGGGCGAGGCTGAACAGTCACAACATTTACGGTATTTCTGTTCATGATGCATCAGTAGACTACAGCGCTTTATGTGTGTGTGTCTCTCAGGACCGAGCTGCTTTGTTAACTGATTGTTTGGGAGGTTTTATTGTCTTCACTGCTGTTATTACTGGCGTTTTTTTTTATTATCATGCTCCCAATATTCAGCAAAACACCTTCAAATTCCATTTGCGCCCCTGTTTTTGTGTGCATGAATAAGATTTCACTGCTTGCACTGATGTCAGCCTTATAGAAAGACAGGCAGGTCTGCAGGGCTTGTTTTTGTCCCACCGCTCACTGTCTGTGGGTCTTATAGCCTGTGTGTGGGAGGGAAAGAGAATGAGACAGTACAGGAATTTCCCCAATAACCCTCTCCTCACCCCCACCCAGCTCCTACACACACAGAAATAGTCTTGGAAAAAAGTCTCGAATCTTGAGATTGAATTTGAGTAGCACCTCAGCAGATATTCATATATGTGTGTGTGTGTGTGTGTGTGTGTGTGTGTGTAGCACATCTGGAATGGGAACACAGCTGCAAGTTTGATGCTGTATTCCTTGCACCTGCACACTCACTCTCCTTTGTTTATAACCCCCACGCCCTGTGTGGATGCACTATCAATTTTGCAAAATGTAACTGCCTTAGATTTGGTTAAATCTGCCTCAGCCGGTGGGATGCCGTTGCCATGGCGACGTGTCATGGCATAACCTCCCCTGACAGTTAATATTAATTAAGCCGTTACCAGAAGGCTACGAAAACGCAGACAAAATTGTTATTGTGTTTGTGTGACAGATCCCAGAGGAATAATCACATTGTGCCGCACATTTAAGCGGATTTGCATGTTGCCAGCTTCAGCGGTATCAGTGAGAAGTGACTATTAAAGCTGCGAGTAGTCTGAAAAACCTTCCACTACAAACTGATTGATCCTGGCAGCCGAGCAAAACACTTATCTGTGAGCCGAAACGCCCAAACACTGTAGAGACGTTTACAGATATAATATAACGGACCTTCCTCTAATGACTCTAAAAGCCTTATGAGAGGTAGTTAAAAGCTATGCCATCACCTCCACAGTAAACCGGGTAGACACCAAGTGACGACATCACATGACACAAGCATATGCCCACTCAGCCTTTTCAGGCTAAAATGAGAAACTCTAAAATTTTAGGTCAGCGTTGCTAACTTCCCAAATCCTGTGATGCTTTGTAGCAAGGAAATAAAAGAGGCAGAGGATCTAATAGCAGGGACTCCAAGTTTCTACAGATGGAGCACTCACTCTGTGCAGCCAGTTTGGAATCGCCTGTCAAGTTTTGATGTGTCGTTTTCTGTTTGAGCTTTCTCTGCACAGGCAAAGAAATGTGCCAATAACCGATACCAAAACCAGACTGAATTTCCTGCATCTTAGTCTCATTTTATTATCTCCTTCTTACGCAGTAGTAGTGGGAGCTTGTGTCCAGTCACACACAAATACACAGCTCATATCTTAGCCCGTTAAACCACACCCAAGATGTCACTGCCTGTGTCCTCCTCGCAGTTTATGTCTTGATGGCGAACAAACTCTCCGGTCAGATTTTAATTAAGGCAACATTTGAACTGGGATGGGATGATGGGATGATGGGATGATGGGATGATGGGATGTGCGTCTCCCTCACTCCCACGTCGTGATAGAAGCTTTCACAGGAGTACTGAGCATTAGCATCTTGCCTATTTGCAGCTTTAGAGTTCTGCTCAGAATAGCAGCAGACTAAAAATGCACAGGGGTGGATCATGACTTTGCCTTTCAGCCTCGAGGTAATACTCACATGGACATTTTTTAAAGTAAGTTTAAGGTCTGATTCCCATTTTGGATACTCATGGTACAAGGGACGCATTATGAAAAAAAGTCCATTCAACACGTATCTTGTCCTTCTTGAGAGAAAATTTTTTTTTGCCATAAGCAATGTGGCATTCACGCTTGTAACTCATATTCTCTAAAAGTGCAGTGAGCTTGTGTAAAGACAGAAAAGTCAATGCCAGAAGCAGAGTTATTATTTATAGCTATCTACTGCCACAAGACGCACTTTCTAGACTTCTTCTCTGGTTACATAAAAGGATGATTATGATTTGATAGGCTGTTTTCTTGAGTCTTAATTACTGAAGTAAACATTAGCATTGTGAGTGACTCTCATAATCCCCCCTTTGAGGACAGATTCATGCTGAAAATGATACATAACTGTTGCCAGTAGGCTACAGATATGAGCTATTCAAACCCTTCCTGGCTAACACACATCACCACAGCCCTGTTCACTCATATTACTCTGGATCATCAAACTATATTGATTTAAATGAATTTTCCCCTTGTTTATATATATAAAAGTGGACAATGACGCCCTCTTAGAGTTAGCATGTAGCAGTTTATAGCCAAGTGAGTCAGTTTATCTGAGGTTTAGTGGTAGCACTTTAGAATAATGACACATTACTAATCATTATTAAGGTTTAGCAAGTGCTTAATTCATCCTTTATATAGCATTACTCCTCCTTAGTATGTCATTTAAAAATATTTATTTATTTATTTATAATTTTAGCTAACTATTTAATCCATTTAACACCTATTTTAAGTTAGCCCACTTCATCCATTATTTAGCTTACTTACATTCTTTTTAAAAAAAAATACTGTTGTGGTCATTTGAAGCTAAATTTTGTTTAAGTAATAACCACTTATTAATTACTTATCCATTATCCAACGATCCATTTTTTAAAGCTAAATGCTTCCAGTACTTATCAGCCAACTGTTTTGACCCTTTAAAGCCAAGCGTATCATATGTGATACGCGTGTTTTGGGGAGTTTTTGAGACTTCTGCATCATCAGCGGGACTTTTTTTTACCCCCTCCCCAAAATGATATAAATTGCATGACACCTTTTTAATGACTAAATTGCAAAAATATGGCTAATGTAGCAAATGTGATATAAATTAAAACTCATATGCAGATTAACATTTAATATATTTTTATATATATTTTGTCTAAAGGTTCAACAAACACACTTCCTGGCAGTTATTTCATGGTTCAGGTTTTAAAGGGTTAATCAGCTTTGTTCTGGTTGTTTTAGCTAATAATTTAACCATTTATCCACTGTTTTTAGCTAACAAACCGTTCTTCCATAGCAGGTCTCTTAATCCTTTTATCTTACTCACCTGCTTCTCAAAGCATAATTTCTAGACAGGCCAAGTGCGAATGGTTGAGCTTTAGATTATTATACAAATACACAAAGGGCATTCCTCCACACACATGCTGACACCGAGTGCTTCCCTGCATTGTTAATGTTGATCTTGAGCTATTGTCACTGACTTTCTCATGGCAAGACTTGATTAGCAAACAGTAGGGGGATGGGGGTTAAGGGTACGGCATCAGTATCTGTCGTGATGGAGAGGGGGGTCAATACTCAAGCAGTCCACGTCTTGAAATGTGCACAAATGATCCATGTTCTCAGTGCAATCTCTCGAGAAAATAGGCCTTAGGTCAAGGACCCGACAAGCTCATATAATCCATTATAGCTGGAGCTGAAGAACATCTATCCCCCATCCTTACTGGGAGTAGGGGAATCAAAAGGCAGAATTTAGAGAGAAAAATAGAATAGTTGCATGGAAATACATAAGGAATAACTTTGGAGTACAGACACTAGAGCAAGTAGCACCAAGAATACAAAGCTGTTTTAATAATTTACCATTCGCTGCTTCTTGAATTTTACTGTCATACTCCATGTCTAATATAGCCTCACTGTCTTCCTGCCTTGAGCCATAATCCCAATTAATATTCCTTTTCTGCTTCGGTTTCTCGTAACCAAAAAAAATGGGACAATTTTGGACCGTTTGCTCGAGATTGAACATCAAGACAGAATATATGTTGAGCTGATCAAGGCTGCTTTCATCTCACGTGAGCATATGTAACATCTGTTCACTAGACTTTGGGCATGAAGCCTTGCATTTGGATTGCTATGAATAAAACATGACTGCTTCATTTTCTCCTGTCGAGATTGTTATGTCTCTGCTTGTCAGATTGTTGATTGGAAATTTGATAAATTAGGGAGGAAAAAGCACACTGGGATTCTGAGTTGTTCTTGCATGAATAAATAGCTGAATGATCGCAGGGTAAAAGCTGTGAAATAAGCTTATTGGAAGACAAATTTAAATGTAGCAGCTGTTTGCGTAGCTTTGCATAATTCCTATAAAAAAATGTAAATAACATAAAATTCTCTGGATGCAGACAACTTGATTTAGCACCACGCAGCAGCATCCCTCAAATCATTTTTGGCTTTCACTTAAATTTCACTGCTTAGACCGCTAGCTATCTTATCTATATGAAACATTTCTCCTCATTGCAAAAACAGTTTACTTCCACCGTCTCCGTCTGAGAAACCCGATGTGCATTAAGAGCTGGGATATTAAAGGCATACTGAGACAAAAGGACAGTGGAGAAATCGATGCATTTGCTAGCGTGTTTGTGTTGAGAATGGTGCATCATACCCATGTATGGAAGATGGCAGGGGGGGAAGATATGCTCAAGGCGCTGAGGCCTGCTTTATGTCAGACGGAGGAGGCTGGCTGCTGATCTGGACGTAGCCCAGCTGGGACATCCGGGCTGTCAGCAGGTGATTTGGAGACGGAGAGCTGCATGGATGCACTGAAGTGTGCAAAAGTGCAGCAAACTCAAGCACGTAAGCGTCATATATCAGCAGGAAAAGATACAGCAATATTTATAGTATGTATAGGAAAAAAAACAGGACACATGCATCATTTCATGGACACCTCTACTGTAACTGTCTGAAAGTAAACAGACGTTATACCTGCTGTTAGCTGAATCTTTGCAGGTCTTAAGGGTAAAAGACAAAATGTATTAAGCTGCTAAATGGCCCAAGAACATCATCCACAATCTCTGTAGGGAACAGTACTTTTTACCTGCACAGAAGGATACTCAATTAAACACAGATGTTATGAATTAGAAGAATAATTTGATGCTTTCTGGTTAAAAGCGTTTTCACTCCCTTGGCATCTTAGGTGAGAAGATGAGGCCACTCATGTCTATATACTAATCACTAACGTACACAGGATTTCTAAAGATTAACATGTCACCAATCACTTTACACAGTCCCACTCTGAAGCCTTGATTTATGCATTTTTGACTTGATCTTGTTGTGTTTCTAGAAATCAAAGACGCTACACAGTCATATTGTAGCAACTTCCCAATTACAAAATGAAAAATTCTGAATAAATGTACTATAACAATGTAATAATAATATATTGATTGATTGGTAATTTATTTCAACATGTGAACAATATACAAGTACATTTAGAAAAGAAAATAAGAAAGAAAAAAAATACTATACAAATTACATACAAAAAAACCGTTCTGATTAATTTACATGTTGAAAGGGAAGAAGTAAACACTTATTTAATCCCACCCCTTTGCCATAAATTATCAGTTAATATTTAGTCAGCTTCCTTACTGATATAATTTGTAATAAAAACAAACATATATTAAATAAAATAAGACTTGAGACTAGCAATTGAGACCATAAGCTCACCAGGAAAATGATAACTGAGGTCATGAATCAACTGAGCTTTAGGATAAATTTCCCAATGACGTCTGTGCAATCTAACCTCCTTTTATGTCACCGGTTACCTCAGAAGTCAGATGTCGAAACTTGGGAGTGAAATCTCTCTGAAGTTAGTGAATTCCAGTAGTAAAGCTAAAACGTGCTTAGTTCGTAGCAAGGTAGAGTTATTCAAGTATCACGAGTAATAGTAGCATACTACGTTTTAGCTTTTAGCTTAAAACCACTGCTGGAGCACATTCGTGGATAGAGTCGAGTCAGTGCTAGCCATATGTTTTATTTAGCAATTCATAAATTGACAACAGTGGCAGCACAGATTAGTTTTAAAGTTTTACTGCTGTTTATGCTCACTTATGCAACCTCGGATTGTTAGCTCAGGGCTGGCGGGGCTGCTCTTACTTTCTAAGTATGAAATGTGACTTGAAAGGACGTTCCAGATAAAGAAATTCAGACTTAATCTGGAATGCGGCACTACGCCCAAAGGAGTAACCCCCCCTCCCTACGCCCCCCTGCTGGCTAGTAGACGTAATGCAGGTTTTAAAGCACTTAGCTCTGGCTTTACTTATCAGAACAGGAAGCTTTGTCCATCCTTTATGTACAGTCTGTTATCATAAACCGGAGTAAAACATTTCATCCATACTGCCAGACGTAAATTATATTTGCTTTAAAATGTCAAATGTTTACAGTCATTTTATTGCATCAGTTGTTTTGCAAGTGTTGTTCATCACATAAATGTTCAGGTCATAGTTCCTTTTCTTACTTCTTGGTCTATTTTTGCAATGTTATGCATTGTTACTCAATTCCCACCCGCTCTTCCTGTTGGTCTGTTCCACCCTCTGATGGCTGTATTATTATTCTTTTTAAGAGCGCTTGCAAAGCTGGCAGGCCTGAAAAGACACTGGCACCACAAAGGCATTCAGCATGAGCCGCAGCAGGGCTCAGTGTTCAATATGTGGAGTGACATCTACATTTCAAAAGAGGCAGATGAAAAAAAAACCCAGCAGCACTTTTACAATATCTGACATCCTCGCTTCCCTTGTTCCACCACATCCTCTTTCACTCACTCCTCCCGTCTGCTTGCGTTTCAAACTCTTCCAGCTCGTTTCTCTTTTTATTTTCAACTTTCAGGCATTCATCACAGCGTGAAGCAGTAGCTCAGTGTGTTAGTGGCACTGCATTTAAGTATATGCACACACATGTTAAATGCTTCATCTGTTTGCTCTTTGCAGTTCGGCGTACGACGTGGTCTTAAGGCAGAAGGTTGCGGTGAAGAAGCTATCCAGGCCTTTCCAGTCTCTCATACACAGCCGCCGCTCGTACCGGGAACTCAGGCTCCTCAAGCACATGAAACACGAGAATGTTAGTGCTCCTTATAAAAATACCCAGAGACAGACAGACGTGGCTCTCTGAATGTTTTTCGCTCCGTTATTGATCAACTCTGCTTCTGTTTCTGTCTCTGCAGGTAATAGGGCTGCTCGACGTCTTCACACCTGCTGCCACATTAGAAGACTTCAATGAGCTGTAAATCTTTGTTTTTCCCTCGGTGTTTTCTACAAGCTGTACAGCTGTCCACCTTTTTTTTAGATATTTCTCTTATTAGAGGGCATACTGATGTATATATACAGGCAATCCTAGGGGGATTATAGGCTTGTAGAGATGTCAGATGGTTGCTATGGCAGCACCTCCATGTTCTCCTCTGAACTGAAATGCCCTCCCCCATTCACTCATACAGAGTCTCTCCTCTTTTCCAGCTACCTGGTGACTAACCTGATGGGCGCAGACCTCAATAATATAGTCAAATTTCAGAGGTTGTCAGATGAGCATGTGCAGTTCTTAATTTACCAGCTCCTCCGTGGCCTCAAGGTAATTTACTGCATCACGAGTATCTCCTGCATGCTGCAACATGCAACATGAATAATCAGCTGTGTCTGTTTTAATGCCAGCAGACACATGTA